CTTTATAAAAAAGGCCTCTCTTTCCTGCTGAAACTCTAAGACAATGGGGTTCTCTTCAGCCTCATCCTCTACAGCATCTTCTCCTACCGGATACGGGAAAGAAAGAAAAGACAATCAGACAGAAGAGACTATCTGAATGACACCCATTATCCCTTCAGGCTGAATAAAGATACAGTTATCAGTGATGAAAAGAAAGGTGGGGGTGGGGGGGAGGAGGACAACCACAAGACCATCAGTATGAACATCTTCAGGTTTTCTAAATTGTGTGACAAGTTAAAACTTGTTTTCATGGCACCTTATTTTTGTTCTCCATCACTATATGTATTGATATTTTAAAAGCAAAATTACCTACCACATCCTCTATGTAAAAAAAAAAAAAAAATGACGTTCCTCAGCCCAGCATTCTCACTCACTCACACCCAGGTCTAATACTTTGTCTTCAGTATAATTTCCCAATACTTATCATATCCACCAACAGACTGGTCTACTTAGTACTCCATTACAATCATCAATCCCTGCCCCAAATACCACCCCAATGCTCAGCTTCTTAAGGGCTTCTTTTCCTTTCCTTCAAGTCCCAGCTCAAAACCCTTCTGTTTATAAACTTATAAACTGTCCCAAAGATCTGTTAGTGCTGGCCAACAGAAATATAATGAAAGCCATATATGCAATTTACATTTTCTAGTAGCCACACCAAAAAAGAGAAACAGGTGAAATTATTATCAAGGAATCTACATAAAAATATTATGAATATTTTACATTCTTTTTTCACACTAAGTCTTTGAAACCCAGTGTGTGTTTTACATTTACAGCACATGTCAATTTGGACTAGCCACACTGTAAGTTCCCAATGTGGCTGATGACTACCATATTGGATAGCGCAGGTCTAGGTCCTCAGTGACTACTCCCTTCTCTAAACCCTTACCCTAGCATACTAATGGTTTCTAGCTTTTGTTTGGCACTTACCACAAGTAATTTCATAAGATTTATCTGTCTTCCCAACAACACAGTAAGGCCATCTTCTAGCTTTTCAAAATCCTAGCTCCTGAATACCCATCCTCTAAAATGTCTGGTGTTATGGAAAATTCAATTTATTCCTCTGATTAGATATTTTCACATTTCAGGGTATTTACACAACGTATGAAAAATTCAAAAGGACTCCTACACTGAATAACATTCTGTTTTATTTGATTGAATGTAGTTTCACCCCCTTTAGCAATAATCAGTACTTAATTAAATAAATTTTAATGGTTAAAAATAATAAACTATATGCTGAGGAACTTTTGAACAAAGGAGTGCTCTGTAAAACACATTAAAAGAAATCAATAGTGCCCACAATTCAATTTTTTGGCATCAGAAAAGTTAATAAATCTGAGTTTGGGTAACCTAATGTGCAAACTGTATTTGTCCCATCTATCTCAAAGAGTCATGAAGGCTGTATGATAAAAAGAAAAACAAAAAACCCCAAACAAAAAAACACCAAAAAGCATTTAAGTGTACTAGGAGAAATGAATTTAAAATATTAACCTCTGGCAGCAATTGTGAGTCCTTACCCATTCCCCAGGTGCAGCCCACTTCATCATCTTGACTACCAGTACTTCTCTTTCTTTCGGCTGCATCCGTTTCCTCTTCTTCTGAGTCTTCTCCCAGCATCTTCTTTTCCAACATCATTTGTTGCTGCTCGCGCAATTCCTTCAATTGCGTTACTGTCAACTCAGATTCTGCCTCTCGGTCTTCCTCTGGTCCCTGATGGATCGAGCAAAAGAATTCTTTTTCAGTTGATTGTTAAAGTCACTTTCAGAAATATGGCAACGTGTACAGAGGTCTGGAGATGAGGGGCCAGATTTCTCCACTTTTGTAATCGCTGACTGAGACAATCTCCTTCCTTAGTGAAAACTTAACGAGCTCAGGAACGCAGCTGGGTGCACTCCAGAGACTGCAATTCTAGGTTTTTCTACGTACCTGAAAAAGAAAGAGCCGGGTGCTGCCTCCAAAGCGAAGAACATGGCCGACGTGGACCCGACAATAGGTGCGGGGGGGGATGCGGGTTTTGTTAAGAAAAGTGCCATGGGTGCTTCCCAAATCGTAGAGGTAGAAGCCAGGCCCGTGGCCGTCGCATTCTGCCTCGGGACCGGTGACCCTGTGCTGCAGTACAGCGTGGTAGCGAGACACCGAAGGATGCTCCAGGCACACGTCGCAGCTAGCGAGCCTCCCGAAAAGACAGCAACTCATCCCTTTCAAACTCCGGGTGCCAAGGATGGTTCCGCCCTTCAGTGTTTCTAGGCTGTAGGGGGCCGTGGCGGGGCCGCCCCACGGAGGCTCTCGGTAAGGAGGAGCCCGGGCCGGGCCGCCAGGGGAAGGAGCCGCTGTGGGGGGCCGTGGCTGCTCCTCCGCTGGACCCCTAGTCTCCCCGCTGTCCAGCAGGGCTGGCGGGTCTTCAGGCTCCGCGGAATCGGAGTCCGGCAGCGCCGTGGGCCTTTCCTTCTTTACCTCCTCAGGGCTTGAAGGATTGGTGGCCGGGGCTTTGCCCCGCACCGCCGGGGGCAAGGGCAAGCCTGGCTTCTTGAAGTCGCCATTGAGTTCCTGCGAAGCCAGCGGCTCGGACTGAGACGGACCAGCAGCCATCATCAAGCGCGTGCAGGCTCGAAATCTGTTCCAGGGAAACCTCACCCCCTCGGTCTCTACATTCCTATCCACGCCTCCCTCTCCCCAGCCCCCAGCGGCTTCTCTGGCAGCGACGGTGGAGTTGCTCCTTCACGACCTAGAGCGCTGTGAAGAAGTGAGTATCCTGGGAAGTTATAAGAAGAGGGAAGCAAAAAGGCGGCCGAGGTACTGTCGGAATGGGGACCTTTTTAGAGGTTGCAACTGGGTTATAACGACTTCCTGTGGCAGCCCCTGATTGAGAAGAAGCGCTTCCGGCAGACTTGAATCACTAATCAACACACCAGCTTTCCGGGCCTGACGCGACCCTCGTCTCAGGCCCCTCGGAGTCGTACAGCCGCCCAGCCCCGCACCTGCGACGTGGCAGTCCATAGTGGAGCCTCCTTGCCTCGGTAGGTCCAGATGTCCCTGTGTCCGGGCTGCCCCAGCATTAGGCGACCCCGGGACCCTGTGATTGGCGCCTGTGCCTGCTGACGGTGACGGAGGAGCCCCCCTAGGGACTTGGGCATTGCTTGTGCTTGGTGTCTGTCCTTCGTGCTCCTTTCGGTGAAGCTAGGGGAGAGGGCGATTTTTGTTGTCACTTGGTTCATTCATTTATCCGTTCGTTCCTTTATTCTTTCCGAAACCAATTAATGAGGCAGCATAGTGTAGTTGTTAAGAGTGCAGGCCCTGGAGCCTGGCCGTGTTGATTTCCCCTCTCAGCCATTTTTGACATTAGGCAAGACAGTAGGCCTCAGCTTCCACATCTGAAAAGTGGAGTAATAATAGTATCTACTTCATAGAGAGGTTGGGAGAATTGAATTAACAGTAAAGGCAAAGCCCGGCATGTAGTAGGCACTCACTGTACTAAGATCACAGTTGTGAGAGCTAGATGGAAGAATAAAATTGAGATAAGTACTAGTTTAAATATAGGGATAAATGCTGTGATGGAGACATGCAAAATGCTGTGAGAATATGATGAAGGGAGTTGTACTGGGGAGGTGATAGAGGGTGGTGACTTAAGCCATACTTAAGAATGAATACAAGTCTGCCAGGGATGTGGTGGGTGTCAGGGCATTTCTGGCAGAGATCACATCTTTAAGCTGTGAAAATGCATGGCATTCTCAGCCTGAGTAGTCTGATACTGGTAGATCTAAAGTGGTCATTTTCTCCAGGAAGTTCCTCCTTTGTGTTTTCTCACTGCACCAGGTCTGTGTCTCTAGAACAGCTCTTACCACAAACTTTAATATTGAAATGTCCTTTTTATGTTTTTCTCCCTCACTTCAGGGCAAGGATCTTGCATTAGTCTTTATCTCTTCACATGATACCTGGCATTCAGTAAATGTTTGTTGAATTTGAAGAGACATATGGGCAATGAATCTGGAAGGGTGAGTTGAAGCCAGACTGTAAACGTTGTTGAATGGTAAACCAAAAAAATTTTGACTAACTTTTTTCCAATAGGCAATGAGTTTAAAATATTAAGTCTAGCATTACTGTAGAGAGTAGATTAGATATAAGGAGAGACTGAAGGAAGGGATATTCGTTAGGAGACAGCAGATATCTCAGATTCTTCCCTGTATACGTCCGAAGTTGAATGCATAAGACCGTTTAGGTTAGTGGTTCATATATTGTTCCACCAGGACCAGTTAAAGGTTCCCATGCCTGGCATTCACAAATTAAGAACCACCTCGGGAATTCCCTGGTGGTCCAATGGTTAGGACTCAGCACTTTCACTGCCCAGGCCTGGGTTCTATCCCTGGTTGGGGGAACTAAGATCCTACAAGCTGCATGGCACAGCCAAAAAAAAAAAAAAAAAAGAACCACCTTTTCCTATCTTTAACTCTATTCCCTTTTCTCCTACTGATCCAGGACAGATGTGTCAAGATACTCTGAGAAGTATTCCAGGTCTCATTTAAGTATCTTGCCTCGCAGATCGTTCAGGACTGGGTATGATGGCAGTTCTGGTAATGAGTTAGTAGGGTGAGATGGAAAATATGGACACTATGGCCCCAGATACTCTTGCAGCTATTAATCTACTGATGACCCAAACTCTACCTTGTGGTTCAGTGCAGTAGGAATTGTCCTAGTGTGTGATTGTGATGACTGGCATCTAACAGTTATATTTCTCTTAATTTCTTCAGGGAGAACATCCTTGGTCCTACAGTGTTGCTGACACTGACATTTTTCTAAGTGGTCTTGAACTGCCTACTTTTTATGTAAATAACTGGCTAGACTTCATATTTTTCACTACAGAAGCCCGTAACCTGCAGTTGCTAGAGATTTTAAAACACTACTTTTAGAATATCATCTACATTTAACTTGAAAGCTCTTCCTTTCTTATTCCAAAATGTTGAGATACTGGGGAGAGATACCAATCTCATCAAGCCAGACAAACAGAAGTTCCTTTGACTTGCTCCCTCGGGAGTTCCGACTGGTAGAAGTCCATGACCCACCCCTGCACCAACCCTCAGCCAACAAGCCCAAGCCCCCCACTATGTTGGATATCCCCTCAGAGCCATGCAGCCTCACCATCCATACCATTCAGCTGATCCAGCACAACCGACGTCTGCGTAACCTCATTGCCACAGCTCAGGCCCAGAATCAGCAACAGACAGAAGGTGTAAAGACTGAAGAGAGTGAGCCTCTTCCGTCCTGCCCTGGGTCACCTCCTCTTCCTGATGACCTCCTTCCTTTAGATTGTAAGAATCCCAGCGCCCCATTCCACATCCGGCACAGTGACCCAGAGAGTGACTTTTATCGGTAAGGCAAGGCTTTGCTATATCTTACTTTTCTCAAAAAATCTTCCCAACAACCGTGTTAAGCAGGTAATCACATTTCCAGGAGGAAACTGAGGATGAGAGTAATTGCCTTGGCCAAAGTTGCTCAGGTAATTAGTGGGAAGTCTAGGACTTGAACCCTGATCTTCCGAATCCAGAGTCTGTTATTTTTTTATTTTCTGATGCAACAAATATTTATGGAGTGCCTAATATGTGCCAAGCACTTTACTAGGAGCAAGTACTACACTAGTTTGTAAAATAGGCCATGGTCGCATAGTCCTCAGAGTCTAGTTCTTCTGTTTCATTAAAAGGTATAATATGGGTTTAGCTCAGTGCCCTTAAAATGAGATTCATGGACTTATTCTCATACTATTAGGAATCTCCAAGTTCTATACAAGAATTTTTAATTGTGTATTTTCATTTTGATAACATAGTTTAAGAAATAATAATAGAAAAATGTTCTTGATCCTTGCTACTCAAAATCTGGTCCAAGATCAGCAACATCAACATCACCTGGGAGCTTGTTAGAAATGCAGAGTCTCAGCCCCACCCAGACCTGCTGAATCAGAATTTTCATTTTAACAAGACCTCCAGAATGTTCATAAGTATATTTCAATTTGAGAAGCCCTGCTCCACGTCCTCTGAATGACTGCCTTATAACCTAGGGCTACTACTAGGTTTCAGTGTGAAAGTTTGCATTTGGTGCCAAATAATTACTTTTTCCTTTTCCTTTTGAACTTTGTCAGACCTATAGAAAAGTTTAAATAATAGTACGACAGACACCCAAATACCCTTCACCTGGATTCACCAATTGTTAACATTTTGCCACATTTACTTTCTCTCTCATGTATGTGTAAGTGTATACACACATTTACACACAAATATACAAACATATATATATACATATACACATAAGACTTTTTTTGCCAAATATTTTAAAGTTGCAGACATTGCAATATATCACCCCTAAATTCTTCAGCATTCTTTCACCCCTAAATTCTTCACCTTATCCTAAGAATAAGGAAATTTCCTACACAATCCCAATAACCATTATCACATCAAAGTAAATGAACACTAATTAAATACTATCATTTAATATGCCTGTATTCAGATTTCTCCAGTTGTCTCCAAAATATCTTTTGTAGGTATGTTTGTCCCCAATCCTGGACCTAACAAAGATTCACGCATTGCATTTGGTTGTTATACCTCTTTAGTGTCTTTTTTTTTGTTTTTTTGAGGTATAGTTGATTTACAATACTATATTAGTTTCAGGTGTACAACATCATGATTCAATATTTTTATAGATTATACTCCTTTTAAAGTTATTATAAAATATTGGCTATATTCTCTGTGCTGTACAATATATCCTTGTAGTTTATTTATCTGATACATAGTAGTTTGTACCTCTTCATCCCCTTCTCCTATCTTGCCCTGCCCCTCTTCCCTCTCCCCCTGGTAACCACTAGTTTGTTCTCTATATCTGTGAGTCTATTTCTTTTTTGTTATATTTACTAGTTTGTTTTAGATTCCACATAAAAATGGTATCATACAGTATTTGTCTTTCTCTGCCTCTTTAGTGTCTTTTAAGCCAGGATAGCTTCCCCCTTTTATAATACATGATATTAATCTTTTTTAAGAGTTTAGGTCACTTGTAGGCTGTCCCAAATCAGACTGGATTTGCTGATTATTTCCTCAAGATTAGATTCAAATGAAATGTTTGGCAAAAATACTACATAAGTAATATTGTATATCACTTAGTGCATCTGCCTATTGATAATAGTTGCTACTATTTTAATTGTCCCAAACTAATGAGAAAAGAACAGAAATAGACTTATTAAGTAAGGCTTGCAGTTGGGCTAGATGAAGGCCAGAAAATGTCATGGTGTATTGTCTAATCAAAGGCTCTGAAGACATTGGAATAGTGAAAAAGGGAGGGAGAACTGTGTCTTTACATGCTTGTCCCGTGTTAGTATAGATGTGCCTAACTCAACTCACTCTGTGGGAATCAGTACCAAGTTTGCATTTTGAGAGCAATTTACCTTTAACAAAATAATATTGTCCTTCATATTAAATTGATGCTATTATTTAGAATTTGTACTTTCGTGTCAATTTTCTAATTTTAATTGTTAGGAAGATTCTGTGAACATCAGAAGTTTAAACGTAGTTTGTTTTATACATATTTAAGAAACGGTGTACAAAAATAATTTGCATCAGCTATGGGGGTACGGGAAGAATTATTTTCCTTTGAAATGGGTCCACATATTAAGCAAAGCAATACTGATTTAGCTCTGTTTATTAGGCACTTCTGAAGCCTTTAGCTTTTGGTCCAGAGAGACTGGCCATGGGAAACGATGATGCAAACAGTGAATGAAAAGTTATGAGGCAGTTGGTTTTCTTACGTTCCAATTATTATGTGAATTATAGTAGTTGCTACTGAGCAGATAACAGCAGCATGGGTGTGCAGCTCCTCAGGCACTCTGTACAGCAAGCACAGGGTAACGCATGCCAAGTATGGACCAGGGAAAAGTAATTTTCTGTACCCTATCTTTTTTTTATCTATTTACTTTGTCAGAGGGAGGCAGAAGATAGGAAATTTCGGGAGAGCAGGTAAATTATTAGGAGCTCATTAAAAGTTATTTTTAGGAGACCAGACAGTTTTTTGAGGTTTTTTGTTTTGTTTTGGAAAGATTAGGATCTTTGTCATCGTGATTAGGTGCAAAACAGTGTATTATTAAGAACATGGGCTCTAAAGGCAGAAGCTCTATCACTTAATAATACCAAAATTCTTTTGGCAAGTCAGCCCCTCTGAACTTCATTTTCTTCACCTGCCGGATAGGAATATGAAGAAATATGGACCCCTACCCACTTCACAGCATAAAACAGGATAAAAATGCTTTGTAAGCTATATATGTTTTAAATTGCTTTTATAAAATTGAGTTCCTCTCCCAGCTTTACAAATGGTCTGTTGTAGTTAAATAAGAATCTCCTAATTGGGACTGTGAATTTCTAGAAGTCCATGTATTGCCCAGCATGTGAGGAACCTATGTTCTGATGAAACAGAGCACCACTGAGCAGTATCTGAGCTATACTCTTAAAATTAATCAGATCCTAAAAGTGATCAAAATCCAGCAGTTGATATAAGGAGAAGGAAACTTCCTTTTCACTAGATACCCTTTTATACTGTTTACTACAGGCATCTATTGCCTGTTCAAACTTTATGTAATTGGAGCAGCTCAGGGATATGACTGTGGGTTGTTGAGACATGCCCTGACAGCAACAAGATGACACTGGGCTATGTAACCTGCCTAGAATTCCCCTGGAAAGCTGAGCCGGTGGTTTGATTGGAATTGTAAACTTCCTAGGGAGACAGGACAGGTCACCCCTTTGCAAGAGCACTAATAACACTAGCATGTCTCCGCTTTCAGTGGGAAAGGGGAGCCTGTGACTGAACTCAGCTGGCACTCCTGCCGGCAGCTCCTCTACCAGGCAGTGGCCACAATCCTAGCCCACGCAGGCTTTGAGTGTGCTAACGAAAGTGTCCTGGAGACCCTAACTGATGTGGCACACGAGTATTGTCTTAAGTTCACCAAGTTGCTGCGCTTTGCTGTGGATCAGGAGGCCCGGCTGGGGCAGACTCCCTTCCCCGACGTGATGGAGCAGGTTTTCCATGAAGTGGGCATTGGCAGCGTGCTCTCCCTCCAGAAGTTCTGGCAGCACCGCATCAAGGACTATCACAGTTACATGCTGCAGGTGAGAGGACCCTGAGGAGAAGTGGGTAAAGATGTGTAATCTAGGGGTGTCCAGCAGGATCACTAACACTTGCTCTAGGGTGCAGAGCACAGGGTCTTGGAACAGAGTGGACTTACCCTGCTTTCCTCTTCGGCCCTGGCTGTGTTCCACTGGCCTCATCACTGACCTGGCCAGACTCAGGGGTCTCCTTTAGTCAGTGAAATTATAGCATGTGGTTAGCATGCTTTTATTCAACGAATATTTATTGAGTGCCTATTGTGAGTCAGGCACTATGAGATTCAGCAGTTAACAGGTTCCTTGAGCTTGCACTCTTGTTGAGAGGGAAACAAAAACAAGTAAACAAATAATGATCAAAATAATTTCAGATGACGTTAAGTGCTATGAGAAAGAAAACAGAGTGAGGTGATGCTGCCCAAGGGTGGAGTGTGGTGGGGGAGATGCCATTTTTGATTAGAAACAGAAATATCTGAGCTCTTCAACCCTTGTGGCCTGAGGCATTTTGTTCACTGTTTCGGTTTCCCCAAATCTAAAATATGGTAAGGAATTCTTAACACCCAGTCGTCTTTGCTAAGCGATCCAGATTTCCTACAGTGTTCATCATCCACCTGTGGTACCTATGTCAAATCTTAATTTTTATAGCTAAAAATGTGATCTTTTGTCCCAGTTCTGATATAATACAGTCTAAATATTTTTCACCTTTATGTACCTTTTAATTAATGACATACACATTCTCTGCTAAACAGATATTCTTTACATGTCTCTGTCATTTACGAATTTCAAACTCACATTCCTTCCTTTGGCAGCGATGTTTTATGCATATTCATATTCTGTTGGCTTTTCCATGGATGCCACAAGCTGACTATCCAACTTGCTTTTAACTTGGAAAATTGACTCTTGCTTGCCAACAGATTAGTAAGCAGCTCTCTGAAGAGTATGAAAGGATTGTCAATCCTGAGAAGGCCACAGAGGACACTAAACCTGTAAAGATCAAGGAGGAACCTGTGAGCGACATCACCTTCCCTGTCAGTGAGGAACTGGAGGCTGACCTTGCTTCTGGAGACCAGTCACTGCCCATGGGAGTCCTTGGGGCTCAGAGTGAACGCTTCCCATCTAACCTGGAGGTCGAGGCTTCACCACAGGCTTCAAGTAAGAGAAAACAATTTACCTATTTTGATTCTGGGAGATCTGCCAGTCTCAGTACTTCTTGCATTTTGGATTCAAACTCTGGAGATGGAAGAACAAAAGTGGGGATGGGCAGGAGAATGGAAAGTCTGAAAACAAATATAGCTTCACTAATCTACAGATACCAACATTCTTTGTAATTAAGGAAGAAAGGACTAGCAGAGCTTTACAGACATTCTTTAAAATTATTTCTAGTTAGGATGTAGATGCAATAAGTGATTACCAGAGTTAATTCAGCTGACCCAGCTGGGTGGGCAGATGGCCTCCTGTTCTCTGTATTCTGGTCTTTCCTGCTGCTTGTACTGAATTGATTAAGGCAACTTCCAGATAGATGGAGTAACGTTAATTGCTCAGGGATGTTTGAATAGTTGGGGTTCCTTGCTAAAGTACCCCCCAACAAGTTGGAACTGAAAGGAATTGAAATAGGGCAACCCAGTTACAGGCAGCTGGCCTCTTCTTCCAGATAGACCCTGTGATTACCTTCAGAACCAGATGACTTGACCCCTAAGTCAGTTAGATTGCAAATTAGTCTAGACGCTCAGTTCTTTACAAATATAAATTGTCATGTCATCAATGCACAAATGATGCAAATAGCCAGTCCTTCATTGTAGCCTAAACAGAATTAGGCCGCATTTTTTAAAGTATTGGGCAGAGAGCCTTTCACCATGGAAGACGTAATAACCACAGAACAGTGCTGCTAGAAGATACAGAGGCAGGAGAGCCAAAAAGAATTGTTGCAGATGTAGGGGTCACGTCTCTTTTCAGCAGTCTGGGAACAGCTGCCAGCATTTCGTACTGGTCATTAACTTTTCATAATGTGAGAGAGGACCAGGGACCCAAACATAAGGCAGGAAAACAAGACAGCCCCATAAAAGGACAGGCCACTGTAATACCTAAGAGCCCATGGTTGTGCCTGCCTTTGAACCATGAATCTTTCCACGAGCATAGTTTTACTTCCCTAGTTTAGGGAAAATGGAGGTGGATGAGGTGGGGTAAAGGAGGGTGAGGAAGTGGAAAAGAAGATATTTAGAGTTGAGTTGGTAACATTTTGAGCAGAGAATAACCACCATATTCTCCAGCCAAGTAGAGAATCAGAGTGAAAACTGATCTCAAAGGTCATCAGTTGGCCCTGGGTGGTGCATGTCTCCTACTTTGTTCCAGCCTTTTTTTTTTAATAGATTTTTTTAAACAAATTTTATTTATTTATTTATTTATTTTTGGCTGCGTTGGGTCTTCGTTGCTGCGCACAGGCTTTCTCTAGTTGCGGCGAGCAGGGGGCTACTCTTCCTTGTGGTGTGTGGGCTTCTCATTGCGGTGGCTTCTCGTTGCGGAGCATGGGCTCTAGAGCACAGGCTCAGTAGTTGTGGCGCACAGGCTCAGTTGCTCCGCGGCATGTGGGATCTTCCCGGACCAGGGCTCAAACCCGTGTCCCCTGCCCTGGCAGGAGGATTCTTAACCACTGTGCCACCAGGGAAGCCCTGTTCCAGCCTTTCTTACTGCTAGTTAGTTCTACGTTCTTCTTCCATTCCCAGGTACAGAAGTAAATGCTTCACTTCTTTGGAACTTGGCCCACGTGAAAATGGAGCCGCAAGAGAGTGAAGAAGGCAACGTCTCTGGGCATGGCGTGCTGGGCAGCGATGTGTTCGAGGAGCCCATGTCAGGCATGAGTGAAGCTGGGATCCCCCAGAGCCCTGATGACTCAGACAGCAGCTATGGCTCTCACTCCACTGACAGCCTCATGGGGTCCTCCCCTGTTTTCAACCAGCGCTGTAAAAAGAGGATGAGGAAAATATAAGGCAGAGAGGGAGAGTTTCTCTCCAGACCTACAAGACCCAACAGAAAACCTTGATGTATTCTAATTTGTTTCCATAAACAGTGATTTGACTTTTATTCTTAAACACAGTGGATTTTCCCGATATCAGTGGAACTGGATTTAGCCAAATAAGTCTGCTTTTTCCTTTTGCATCCAGTTTTTGTAGTTTTCCACAACAACCAAGCTACCTTTCACAGACATCATGCCACTGGGATGGTAATCCAGAGACCAAAGCACTGTCCTTGACATCTACTGTGTGACTAGACAAGTGACTTAGCTTCTCTAGAGCTGTTTCTCTTGCACAACTGAGAAGAATCATACTGCTTTGACCTACCTTGCAGAGATATTGTGAAGATGGAGATGTTGTTAAGCCTCAAAGCTGTGCTTGAATAGACTCACAAGTAAATATATGCTGGTATCAGATGTCAATTTTTTTTTAACTTGCTTCACTTTTGGTCGAAGTCCTTGGGAATCCAGTGCTAATACCTAAGAGGAAATAGCTAAACATTGCATAGCTTATCTATCAGTAGTCTTGTTTTCAAACTGTTTTTGCTGCCCATGAGGTCGCCTATAAAGTCAGAGCGGTCTGTGGTAAACAGGCTTTTTGCTTTTTCAGACAGCCCTCTACTATCTCGGCCACATATTTTCTTCTTCTCTAGACTTATTCTGTGTATTTCCACCATCTTTATTTTTTTATTTCCATTCAGATTTTTTTTAATATTTTCACCATGTACACTTTTTGATTGCTCCTTTCATTTTTCTCCTTTGTGAATGAAGCAAACAGGACCTGTCCAAGGAAAGGCTTGTGCCTATTTCATTTGTTGCATCTGCTTGGCCATCAGAGAACAGTCCATTCCTTTGCCAGAATTCTGTCTGCACATTGTGTTTCTACTGGATGGGCAGCCGCCAAAAGGATAACAGTATGCACCTTTCTGCTTTACATCATGTCTTGAACAACTTTACTGCTGTTACTCATCCATAGCAGTACCTGCCCTGCTTGGCATCTGATAGTCTCAATCAGTATTAAGTAAATGATGTAGCACTGGAATAATCAGGAGTAATTAGCAAATGTGTGCATGTTAAATACTGCTGAAGTTTGGTTTGGGGGTGCAGAATACAAGTCTTGTGAAAGTCAGAGCACTCCTTTAGTGGAGACCAGAAATCCAGGCCCACATCATTGAGTGCCTTAAATGTCCAGCACTGAGAATAAATATGAATGCAATAGCAACAAAATGAGGTTATAATTTAAACTGTTACCAGATCATTTATAAGTTTGCTAATTGTACATCCTTGGCACATTTATCTAAACCCTTCCTGTTCCAGGCTTAGCTTCATTTTCACTTATTTATTGATGAAAGTACACATCAGGTGGTCAGTTTCCATAAAGTAGCCACCTAGTATTTAATTCATTCACTTAGCAAACATTTATTGAGTACCTATTATGTACTGGGTCCTCTGCAAGGGATACACAGATGAGTAAGACTGTCTCTGCCCTTATGGAGCTTACAGCATAGGCCAGACAAGTTCCTCTTTAAGTAAAAAGTATACAAAGGCACTAAGGGAAAAAATCAGGTATGTTCAGAGTTTTGCCGTGCAAATGGTTTCCTCTCAAAGAACAGGTTCAAGTTTTTAGACCAGTGGTTTCCATTAGTTACAGAATACTGAAATTAATACTTCATGTAAAGCAAAACACTTTTATTTATTTTTAGAATGTTAGATTGGAGAATAGGCACCAGATGGTCAAGGTTGGGGTACTCTGATAAAGCAGATGATAAGCACATTGATAACTGAGATTCACCTGGCCTAGAATTACGTCATAGGCTGTTTGAGTTAGAATATTGTTCTGAACTTAGCATGCATCAGAATCCCCTGGAGGCCATAGTAAAATGGACTGCTAGGCCCCCCCTCCCCCCGCCCCCCCCCAGTTTCTGATATAGGGCTTGAATGTCCCATTTTTAGTAACTTCCCAGATGCTGATGCTGCTTCTGGTCCAGAGACCACACTGAGAACCACTGATCTGGAATACAGGTTAGGGATAAAATTCCTTAAGAGAAATGTATAGTGTTTTAAGATACTGTGAAGAATGTGGAGGCAAAGCAAACCCTTACCAGGGCTGTTATATATGGAATGTGCAACTGACCCAAATCTGTGGCCTTTAAGTAAATCACTAAGGATACACTGCATTAAGTTAACGTACAATACAAACAGGGCCTGGCTTTGTACCTGGTTACTAGGTGTGGTATGTACATGGAACTTTAGTAAACAACATGTGGCTTTAAACCTCTCTTCTGAACTGCAGTTGACTATTTGTGATAATTTTCTTATTTGAAATTATGACAAGCAGGCTTACAACAAAGTTAAAATTAAAAGCTCTTTATCCAAGTCACCATCTAAAGTAGAATTCTTATTCGTTAACAATGTTTTGCCCAATTTCTTCAATGAACCTGGTGTTCTACAATGAGCTACCCAGTCTGAGGCACATTTCATACCAAGATTGATTGGTTGCCAAGGAGACTCCACTGCCACTCTGGACAAGCTCCTGTTTCCCCCTCTCTTTCTGCTAAAAGGAGGGGAACTCGTGGTGCAGGTTCAAAGGCAAGATGCTGGAGAAGTAGAGGCTACAGATCCAGCCTAAGTTCTCTCTCTGTTCTGTCCATCAGCAGCAGAAGTATGTGCGTTCAAAGGATAAAACTTGCAGTTTTAGGCTTGAAGGGATATCAGCATCCAAAACCAGATATCCTTCCTTGCTTAAATCCAAGGAAAATGCCAAGGGTAATCAGCATCTACCCGCCAGGTCCAAGTGTATTCTATCCCTGGCTTCATCTGAGTCAGGAGATTTCGCTAGTAAGAGAAACTGCTATCCTAAACAAAACTGTCCTTTATAGTAGCCCCCAATCAGAGATAAGGATAGTCCCTTCACACAGAGTTCCAAAATTTTGGATTTTAGAAACTATTTGTTGTTTCTCTTCCAGTACTGTGCCATTGATTCTTGCATAAAATTCTGGAATGCTGGCTCTTCACGGCTTTCCTCTGTAACTGCAAGGAAAAAAGAAGGTTAATTCTTTTTAAACTCTCCCATTAGGTGGATTAGAGCTGCTGTCACCCATCCATCAGAAATAGTACCTTTGACCCTTGAACAATGCGAGTTTGAAATGCATAGGTCCATGTATACACGAATTTTTTTCAATCGTAAATACTACAGTACCACACGATCCACAGGTGGTGAAATCCACGAATGTGGAACCACAGATACGGGGGGCCAACTATAAGTTAATTATATGGGGATTTTAAACTGTGAGGAGGGTGGGTACCCCTAGTCTCCAAGTTGCTGAAGAGTCAACTATATTTCTAAGACACTGTATGTCCACTTCTCCCAATAAGGAAATATCTCCTAGAAGCAGGCTTTATTTATCATGTTGCCCAAAATGTACAATTTCTTTGACCTGTAAGTGGGGAGAATACCTCCTTCATAAAGTAACTAAAATGAGGTCCCACTCCTACATATTTTTAACTGAGAGAAATGAAAACCTCTGTCCACAAATACCTGTTAATGTTTAGAGCAGCTTTATTCATGACAGCTAAAACCTGGCAACAACCCCAGTGTCAATCAGCTGGTGAATGGATAAACAAGGGTACATCCACATAATAGAACTTTTACTCAGCAATAAAAAAGAACATATTACTGTCACATGCAGTAACATGGATGGATCACAAAAGCATTACATTGAATGAAAAAAGTCAAATGCAAGTTAAATACTGTGATTCCACTTACACAACATTCTGGAAAAGGCAAAATTATAGGAATAAAAATCAGGTAAGCGGTTGCCAGGAACTGGTGTGGGGGAAGGGACTGAATAAAAACGAGCATGAGCGAACTTTTAGAGTGATGGAAGTGTTCTGTTTCTTGATTATAATGGTAATTACAAAACTATATATATGTATTAAAATTCATCAAGCTATACACTTTAATAAAAGGGTGGGATTTATTGTTTGTAAATTATACCTCAATAAATCTTATTAAATGATGCAATTTACATGTTAGTATCCAGCACACTGGAATAAAGAGAAGTTTGCTCTTGGGCACAGCTAGGACCTAAAAGGTTGTTTCAAGAAACAGATTCTGTCCACAGTCCATAAAACTATGCAAAGTGGAACACTTTTGGATTTCCAGAGCCATTCTATCTTCAATGCTACAGTCCCTTCTGACTGGTTTAGGTCTGCTGAGGCCTCCTTCTGTATTCTTAAAACAATGATTACAATAAACAATCCTGGATTCCTCAAAATTGAGTTAGGACCTAAAGATGAGAAGACACAAGACTAATAAAAGGCCATAATCAAGCTCAATATTAACCATTCAGTAGGAAGGCCAGGAACTTTGAATATATGGAACTCCTTCCTGGTGCTGCATCCTTTAGCATGCCCTCTCTCCCCTGTAACTGGCTTCATGCTCATGGTCTTCCCTCAGTAGCAGGAAGCTCCCGGGCAAACAATGAAAGAATAAGCGGCTGTTCTGTTCTTATGAGCCACCTCAGCCACCTCTCACCTCTGTGGTCAATATCTTCAGTATCACTGTCTGCTTCCTCATCCTCTTCATCCAAGGTTCCCCGAGTCAGGATCAAGTCAGAAGGGTCCAGCACAGGAGGTAAGCTGCCTACATAGAAAACATCTATCAGTAGCATGTCATGAACATAGGCCTCCTCAAAAAAGTGATTTTGAATCGATAAGCAACTACGATTAAAAACTGGCAGGATGAAAGTGATCATGATAAAATGCAGGATCTTATTTCTTCTAAATGTACAGTTAATACCACTTAACATTTCTACACTAGTTTATTTCACAAAGTGCTTTCATGAGGCCAGTAACCCAAGAGGTCTCATTTTTTCTTTTTTTTTGTGGTATGCGGGCCTCTCACTGTTGTGGCCTCTCCCGTTGCGGAGCACAGGCTCCGGATGCGCAGGCTCAGCAGCCATGGCTCACTGGCCCAGCCATTCCACGGCATGTGGGATCCTCCCGGACTGGGTCACGAACCCGTGTCCCCTGCATCGGCAGGCGGACTCTCAACCACTGCGCCACCAGGGAAGCCCCCAGAGGTCTCACTTTTAAGTTGAGGAAAACAACTCTCAGGTAGCTTGTCTTCATAGTAATAGTAATGTCATTTGTTTGTACTAGCTCTCAGCTTAGAAGAGGCTATGGTTTTTCCTATAAAGGCTAAAGACATTTGAGCAGATCCAATGTGCTAAGTCAAGAGTAAAAGTGTGGAGCGTGGAACTCACTTAACTGGTAAACCCAGCCAGGTTCCAGCACCTAGTCCACCAAGTGGCTTTGCTGTTCTCTACTAGACCTATAGCAATAGCTATCATTAACAGAACTTTACTCCTTTAAAGGCCAGTCCACCAATGAGTGTGGGTGGGTGTGTATATATTTTAATTTGAGCACCAACCTAGGAACCCCTAGAGAATTAATGACAAAACTAACTCAAACAATAAAAAATGTCAGTGAAGTAGCAGGATAAAAAGACTAAAATACAGAAATGAAAAGTCTTCATAAACACAAACATAACCAGTTAGAAGAAAAATCCCATTTTCAACACTAACGAAGATACAATCCTTGGGAAAAATTTAACAAATTTAACAAAACCTACATGAGGAAAACACTCCTGGAAGACATAAAAGTAGACTTGACAAATACAAACACATTCCTTGCTCTTAGACAGGAAGAGCAACATCAAAGAGATGTCAATTAATTAATTAATTAATATAACACAATCCCAATAAAAATATCAAAGGGTTTTTTTAGCGAGCTACATTAAGTTGATACTAAAGGTTATTTGGGAAAACAAACAAGCAAGAATAGTCAGGGAAACACTAAAAAAGAAAACGTTGAGGAGGACTAGCCCTAGCAGATATTAAAACATACTATAAAGCCTCTATATGTAATTAAAGCCACACAGTACAGGCACACAGTCTAGAGGAATAAAATAGGTAATCCAGAAATACATCCAAGTACATATGAAACTTTAGTATATGATACAGGTAGCATCTCATCACTGGGACAAATGTAGACTTTTTAATAAATCATGTGGGTACAACTATTTATGAAAAAGGTAACACAGACCTATACCTCACACCATACCCAGGAATAAACCCTAAATGGATCAGGGTTCCAAATGTAGAAAATAAAACCATACAAGTACTACAGTAAAACATGAGTGAATGCCTCTTTAACACAGGTGTAGGTAAAGGATTCCCAACTATGACTCAAAACCAGGTGCAATAAAAGATAAATAAATTTGACTACATCAAATTTATACAAAACAAAACAAACTTTTGCATGGCAAAATAACACCATGAACAAAGTCAAAGGGCAACTGACAAACAGGGAGAAAATATCTGCAACATGTATCACAGGAAAATGAAGACTATCCCTACCTAGATTAATGTATATTAAAACTAGTGGGTGAACATTTGAAAATTAAAAGTACATTTATCTAATCAAAGCAGCACCCCACAAAATACTTATTATGAAGGGAAAAATAACTTTATGATGAAAAAACCTGGCAGACACCACTTTAAGTAAGTGATCAAAGACAACTCATCATCATGTACCTTGTGATATGATACATGGAAAAAACACTTCACATCTGTTAACTTCTGCTAAAAAGGAGCCACCTGAATCGAACCATGAGGAAACATCAGACAAACCCAAATTGAAGAAAATTCTACAAAAATATAAGTGCCATACACTTCAAAAATATCAATGCCATGAAATGCAAAGAAAGACTAAGGAGCCATTCCAGATTAAAGGAAAATAAGAGACGTGACAACTAAATGCAACACAGATCCAGAATCTTCTCCTGCTATAAAGGGCAAATGGCTACATCTAAATAAGGTCTATACATTAAATAATAGGAATGTGTCAATGTTAATTTCCTAGTTTTTGATAACTACAATAAGGGTATATAAAATAATGCCCTTATTTCTAAGAAAAACTCAAGGGTAAAGGTGCATCATGTCTGCAACTTACTCTTAAATGATTCAGAAAAAAGTTATATATAATATACAAATATTTTATAAGTATACTTATATATTTATATAAAATGTAAAGCCAAACATATATAACAGAAAGAATAAAGTAAATGTGATAACATTTGGCAAATCTAGCTGAAGGGTATATGGCAATTCTTTGCAATTCATGAAACTCTTCTGTAAATCTAAAATTAGGTCAAAATAAACAGTAAAAGAGGGGGAGGATTAAAAAGCAATTAAAAAAAAAGTAGACATCAAGTATCTTGCCAAAGTAAACCAAAAACTATCTGAAGAGAAAGAATGATCATATACATATGTATAAAAATATAAACACAGATAAGATAAATGTGGTATGAGAAACACAGATAGTGGATTCCTCTTTAACACAGATGTTAGATATAGGTATGTCCGTAGGTATATATCTACATCTGTACACTTCAAAAATGTCAATGTCATGAAATACAAAAACAAAGGATCCATTCATGATTAAAGGAGACTAAGAGACAACTAAACACAATGCAGATTTAGGATTTATCTAAATTGACTGAGGAACAGATAGATAGATACACTATACAACATTTACTTTATCCTTTTCTCTTTCTCTCCCTTAAACATAAATACCTACCTACTAAGTGGAGATAAGTGTACCCCGCTCGTAGTTCCTAACACCAGAAGACCCTCCAGTACCTGTGGCAGTCCCGGTGTCCAAGGCTATAGAGCCCATATCTTTCCGAAGTCGTTCCAGTTGTTCTTTCTGCTGCTGGCTCTGTGCACTGGCCTATATACACAGAGGAAAATGTTGTCATATTAAAAAAGGAGGCCCAAGTTAGATGCCAGACTTCTAACTGAAGATGACAAATTATACAAATACTAGAGGCAGATAAGGGATGGCTGATGACAGAAACATTGAGCAGTGTGGGCCCAGATTAGCAGAAGTTCATTCCAGAGGGCTCTGCAGACCGTATTAGAGGTTTCAGAAATTAGACACAAAATCATCAAAAGAACCCTCAAACAGACACAGCAGGAAGGCTCAGTGATAAGATGTCCAATGTAGCCGATGGGGATAGGACACTTGATCACTTGGGATAAGAGTTGTGAACTACCTCTCTGTTCTTAAACAAAATTCTACAAGTAGCCTTTAAATGGACCTTGGAGTAGGGGTGGAGGTATGGCACAAGAAGGGCTCAGCATATATAAAAGGAAAAATTACTGATTTTTATTACTTCAAGTATAAAGAAGAAAAGTAATTAAGGGCCTTTCTGCATCCAGACAGCATACATACAAATTTACAGGTTTAAATTAACAAGTATCTAAAGGACACATTGAGAACCAAAACAAAAGCATTTATGGCAGAAGGATTAGTACATAGTTTGAGATTGCTTATTCAGTGGCCCTAAAATACACAAACAGCCTCTTTTCTTACCAGCGATTTCTTCAGACGTTCATATTCAGGACGATACTCTCTGGAAAGAGAAACACTTTCTAAATCCCTTTGATTAATAACCTATCCTGTCCCCCCCTCCACATCACTTCTATTTTCCTAGTACTTTGATAATAACAAAAGATCTTATGTCACCATACACCAGATGTAACAAGTCTTAGTCACTGAGATTCTATCCCTAAGTAATTAAAAGCCAAGATGCCTGCCCCCTCCCTGAAATCAGCAACAAGACAAAAGACTGACTGCTGATCTGGGAAGATCAACTCTGGGGAGACCGTGACCAATGAGTTCACCATTCACTTGGATAAACATGAGTAAAAGATGTTTAAATGATGAGTAAAAGAAGCTAGGCCTACTGGGCTCAGGAAGCCCAATATATAATTATGTCGTTTATCTGGGCAACCATGAAAGGATACAGAAAAGAGTCTATCCTGAGGCTTTGATAACACATGCAAAAAAAACCAAAACAAAACAAACAAAAAACAAACCTCGTCTGATGAATAAAAATCAAAATAATGTTTCTGAAAAACCACAATGTGGTTATTAGACTCTTGCTAAGTATGAAGTTTGCTAGAAAGCAGCCAATTATCAGGCCTAAGGAAAGTGTATAGGTGCTATGACTCCACTTTCCTTTAGATAAATGGAACTCCAGTATTAACCAAGAAAATAGTTATAACAATCATTTATTAAGAAATATGCTTACTACATGTCAGCAATTGTGTTAGGTGCTTTAGATATATTATCTCAAATAATCCCCGCAACGACCTTAACAATAAATGCTATTACCCTTCATCTACAAATGAGGAAAACCTGCTAAGGTTACACACTTATTAATTGGAGGAAAAAGAAATCTAAACCATGTCTATCTGACTCCAAAGTCTATGTTCTTCATCAGGGGTCAACCAATGTGGCAAACAGGACAAATCCAGCCCACTGCCTATTTTTATAAATAAAGTTTTACTGGAACACAGCCACGCCATTTGTTTAGGAATTGTCTATAGCTGCTTTTGCACCACAATGAGAGTTGAGGAGTTTCAACAGATAACACAACCCACAAAGCCTAAAATATTTAACACCTGGCTTTTTACAAACAATGTCTGATGACACCTGTTCTTCATCATTCAATACAGTGAAGATTTTATACTCCTATTCTTTTTTTAAAAAAGTTAACAGCTACTTGTTAACCCTAAGTGTGATCAGATCCAGTACACATCTGCATGGCAAATATAATACGAACACCATGAAAACCAAAATGTTTTGCCTGGCAAAACAGCTATCATATCAGACTTGTGGGTAACTAAGAGTGCCATTAATAGAATGTTCCTTTATCCTCACCTTTCATATTCTTCTGTGGCACTGGCAACTTGCACGAAGAGTTCATCTAAGCCTGTACCCAGAACAGCAGACACACCCACCACCTGCCAAAAGCATCATTAATGCCACTGAGGAAACAACTGTATATTTTTAAATGGCATATATTATTTGGCTCAAATTTCATAACATCTTCATAGAAGAGGTTTGGCTACTTTAAGAAGTCTCTGGCAAAGAATGAAGCTAAAACAAGACAAAATGGCATACCTACTCAAAAGTGATGGAAATAAGTCTATGGAAAATAGAGAACTGAGAAAGATAATTAGGATCAAACAAGCAGCAGTTCATCTATTCCCTATCAAATCAAACCACAGTCTGTTCTCTATAAAAATTAGTATCTCAATGTCTTCGCTTGGGCAATTAACATACTTGCTGCTACCCACACCCACTTTTGCTTACACAAATCTTACCCATCCTTCAAAGCACACCTATATTGGCTATATCCTCAAAATATCTCTCATTTCAAAAGTGATCTACCCCATCACCACTATCAGGCCCAACTTTTAATCTTTCTTAAGATATCACAATATAAGTTACTACAATATATCATGTTTTAACTCTGCGTTTAGCCTTCTTTCCTAACTAGACCATAAACTCTCTGAGGGTAGGGTCCGTATCATATTTATCTTTTAAGTCTCCAGTTTTTAATAAGCTATGCCTTAAAAATTACTTTTCAGAAGGTAATGAACTTCCTTTCCAAAACAGGTTCAAAGCCAGCCCTTTGGGTTATGACGTTATCTGGAGAGACCAACAGCATAAGCAAGAAAGTTTACCCTGAGGGAGCTGTAAAACTCATCTAACACGAGGCTCATCGAACGAGTCAGGTTACTGACGTATGTAGTCTCTTGATTCAAGGCATCTTGGAAAGCCTCAAAATCCTGCATCCATTCCACTGCAAAGCTGTGATCAATGATGTCAGTCTGTACCAGAGAGAAGTCAACTATCAGCAACCAGAGATGAGGTCAGACATCAAACAATGGCAAAAAAAAAAGTGATGACAGCAGAGAGCAATAATTCATGTATTTTCTTTCTCTGCTTCCCCCATTTCCTCCTCCACTGCAACAAGTCACAAAGAGCCAAGACTGCTGTGCAGTATAAATAATTAAATGAAGATCTGTGTATTCTAGGTTAGAACAGACCCTTCACTATCCACTGCCAAGTGACCATGGCTACAGTGGAGGCCAGCACCCTCCAGGCTCTGAAGTCAAGTACATAGTCTCTTGCATCCTAGCCAACAACAGAGAAGTTTGGGTTTTGTTTAACTGCCACTTCCAATAGACTAGCAGTCCCTCCCTCATTTACACAGTCCCAATCCTGAGGGATAACCTATACGCTGTGGACCAGGGGCTACTCTATCTAGCCTAAAAAAACTTTGGAAAAGAATCAGTGATATATATTCATTCGATTTGATTGAATCCATTTCCTAGAAGTGCTCATGACTTTGCTTCAGGTTAGCTTAAATCTGCTCTCCAGCATCTGAAATAATCCTTCTCACCTACCCAAACACAAGGTTCTGATGAAAACGAAATATTCAGTCACAACAGGAAGAATCCACTTACTTTATTCATGACCACAATAAAAGGCAACTTGGTTTTGTACAAGATGCTGAAAATCAAACATTGAGGCATTATTAGTAAAAGCACTTAAGCACCTGCTTACCTGTTATCTGATGGAACTGAGTAATAAAAAGGGAGATGAGTTCAGACTCTAAATACAGGTATCCATTCTTACACAGCACTCACATATTCTCCCCTCCCAAGCAGGAAACTACCACTACCATCAAGCAAACAACACACATATACACTCTCTCCTTTTCTTAGAGTAATAATGCTTTGGTACTGATCCTGGGTGTGTGTGTGTGTGTGTGTGTGTGTGTGTGTGTGTGTGTGTGTGTGTGTGTGTGTTTCACCAAAATTAACTGTCTTTTAAACAATTAATATGAAGAAAAAATCATGCTATCAAACATCAGATTTCTATCTGGACTAAGATTTCTTGTGTTTAACAGAAAGGGACATCCCTAGTCATAACAGAAGAGACAAATCGGGGTGATTGTTTTTGCATACCCCTAAAATAAAATTCAGCATTAATAATGGTCCGCCTTGCTCCTAGGTCTAATGCACTAATATAGCCCTAGTGAGGCATGTTCTTCCTCTCCTAATGGCACCACACTTGGGAAAACACATGCATTTAGAATCATGGATGAATCTTTTTATTCAGTCTCTCATGTTATAATTTCACTCTTCCTATCACAACACAGAAGAAAGGCATTTAGACCAGGGGCTCTATTCTATTCAGAACTGGATTTCATTCAACTTGGGGCAACTGCCAGAAGGTTCATATTCATTCATCACCTATTCTGTAACAAGCAAGGGAGGAAGATGACAAGTGGCTGATAGAGAATGCCAACAGTATATGTGCTTCCTTTCCCGCCCTAACCCAGAGCCCCTCCCTAACCCAGAGCCACTAAAGTGAGTGGCAAGCCTGAATGAAAACCTAGGGGTAAGCACTCAGGACTCAAAAATGATGGAAAAGAAGTGGAGACTTCATACCCTGACATAATACTATGCCCAACAATAACGCATTACCTGCAGGCATAGAGCATATTGGACATGAAGGTCACTGGGTTGATACTTCGAGATGTGTCCATTACATAAATGACAATCGTTGGAAACGAGGATGCCTAAAGCCACAAAATAATCAAAGCTTTAGTCAGAGGGTTCTTGACCTGTCCCCAAATTCTTCTCCTACCTTCCGTGGCAAGGAAGAACCACTTCAGGCAGGTGTGCAGAGCTCTATGACTCTATCCCACATAAGATCCCAAGCAATAAGAAGCTTTTCTTGTCTGGCTCTCTACTTACCCTGAGTAACAAGTCCTAGAATACTCACCAGGGCCTCAGTGATGATTGTCCCAGAAGCTGACCAGGTGAATACCTCAATCTGTCCAGGTGTGTCAATCAAGACATACCTGTGTCAAAAAAGACCATTAAATAAGTTTTTATTTATTTATTCTGAAAGATATTCCATCCCACAAAACATTAACATCTGGTTACTCAAGACTGAAATAACCTCTTCACACTGTCAAGTCTCACTTCTTCCCACTGCCCTTAAAGTGCATACCACATTCCCCTGGGTTTTGTTCAATGTCCAGTATTCAGGCTCATTGGCAGGAGCACCAATACATCACTGTTGCAAATGATCACAGAGAAAACTGACAGTTTTAGAAACACACTGCATTAAAAATGAGAGATAAGCAAAACCAGAGTGTAAATCTCTTGGGAAACCATCTGGTTACTTAGGGGTGGGGTTGGAGGAAAATGGAGGGAGGGAGAAAAAGAATAAGAAAGTGATAACTAAAGAAGAGGGTCTCTTCTTGAGGGGATGAAACGTTCTAAAATTGATTGTGATGATGGCTGTACAATTCTGTAACTACACTAAAAGCCACAGAATTGTACAATTTAAATGGGTAAATTGTATGGCCTATGAAATATATCTCAATAAAGCTGTTTTTAAAAAAGCAAAGATCCACACATACATGGACAATTAATTGACAACAAAGGAGCCAAGAACATACAACAGAGAAAGGAAAGTCTCTTCAAGAAATGGTGCTGGGAAAAACAGACAGTCACATGCAAGAGAATGAAACTAGACCACTCCATACACAAAAATTAACTCAAAATGGATGAAAGACTTGAATGTAACACTTGAAAACATTAAATAAATTTCTGGAGGAAAACATAGGCAGTAACCTCACTGACATCTGTCTTAGTGGTTTCTGTGGATCTGACTCCAAAGGCAAGGAAATCAAAAGCAATAATAAACAAATGAGACTACATCAAACTAAAAAGCTTCTGCACAGGAAAGGAAAACATCATCAAAACTAAAAGGTGGGAATTCCCTGGTGGTCCAGTGGTTAGGACTCAGCGCTTTCACCACAGTGGCCCAGCTTCAATCCCTGGTCGGGGAACTAAGATCCCGCAAGCTGCCGGGCATTGCCCAAAACAAAAAACTAAAAGGCAAGCTACTGAACAGCAGAAATTGCAAACCATATCTCTGATTAGGGATTGGTATCCAAAATATATAAAGAACACATACAACCCCAAAGCAAATAAACAACTCGATTCAAAAATGGGCAGAGGATCCAATTACGTAGACATTTCTCCAAAGACACACAGATGGCTAAAAGGCACATGAAAAGATGTTCAACATCACTAATTATTAGGGAAATGCAAATCAAAACCACAATGAATTATCACCTCACACCTGTTAGAATGGCTCTTACCAAATAGATAACAAGTGCTGAAAGGGATGTACAGAAGAGAAAACCCTCGTAAACTGTTGGTGGGAATATAAACTGGTGCAGCTACTATGAAAAACAGTAGAAAGATTCCTCAAAAAATGAAGGATAGAGCTAACCGTATGACCCAGTGATTCCACTTCTGGGTATTTATCCAAAGAATACAAAAACACTAATTAGAAAAAATATGTGCACCCTTATGTTCATTGCAGCATTATGTACAATAGCCAAGATATGGAAGCAACCTAAGTGTCCACCAATGGATGAATGGATAAAGAAGATGTGGTATATACACAGTGGAATACTATTCAGCCATAAAAGAAGAATGAAATCTTGCCATTTGTGACAACATGGATGAACAACATGAGGTTATTATGCTAAGTAAAATAAGTCAGAAGGAAAAAGACAACTACCATATGATTTCACTCACATGTGAAATAATCTGGAGGAAGGAAGGAAGGAAGGAAGGAAGGAAGGAGGGAGGGAGGGAGGGAGGGAGGGACCTAGAGGAATCGCATCACCTCTCCGAGCCTCGGTTTCTTCATTTATTAAAAAAAAAAACAAAACCTGGAGGGGGGGGTTAGGGGGGGGGGGAGGGAGGGAGGGGAAGGGAAAGTGAAGGGAAAGTGAAGGGAAAAGGAAGGGGAAGGGAAGGAAACCAACCAACCAAAAGCAAGCTCACAGATACAGAGAACAAATCAGTAGTTACCAGAGGAAAAAGGGGTTGTGGGTGGGCAAAAAGGGTGAAGGGCATCAACTGTATGGTGACAGATGGTAACTGGACTTTTGGGGGGTGATCACTTTGCAGTGTACACATGTTAAATTATAATGCGTACCTGAAACTTATTTTTAAAAAAGCAAAAAATTTGAATAGACGTTTCTCCAAATATATACCAATGGCCAAGAAGTACACTAAAAGATGCTCAACATCTGGACTTCCTGGTGGCGCAGTGGTTAAGTATCCGCCTGCCAATGCAGGGGACACGGGTTCGAGCCCTGGTCTGGGAAGATCCCACATGCTGCGGAGCAACTAAGCCCGTGCACCACAACTACTGAGCCTGAGCTCCAGAGCCCGCGAGCCACGACTACTGAGCCTACATGCCACAACTATTGCAGCCCGCGTGCCTAGAGCCTGTGCTCTGCAACAAAGAGAAGCAACCACAATGAGAAGCCCAAGCGCTGCAACTAGAGAAAGCCCGTACACAGCAACGAAGACCCAAAGCAGCCAATAAATAAATAAATAAATAAATTTATTAAAACAAAAACAAAAGCAAAAACAATTACAAGCAGTGACTAGAATGTACAGAAAACGGAACCCTCCATACATTGCTGGTGAGAATGTAAAATGGTACGTGAAGCCAGCAGGAGCTTGGAGGAATGGGGAATAGAGTGACTGCTAATGAGTATGGGGTTTCTTTTGGAGATGAAAATGTTCTGAAATTAGGTAGTTCTTTTTTTTTTTTAAAGATTTATTTTTTATTTATTTATTTTTGGCTGCGCCAGGTCTTAGTTGCGGCACCGTGGGATCTTCGTTGAGGCATGAGGGATCTTTCATTGTGGCACGCGGGATTCTCTCTAGCTGTGGCGAACAGGTTTTCCCTTCTCTAGTTGTGGCGCAGGCTCTGTAGTTTGTGGCACATGGGATTCTCTCTAGCCGTCGCAAATGGGTTTTCTCTTCTCTAGTTGTGGCGCAGGCTATGTAGTTTGCGGCATGCAGGCTCTCTAGTTGAGGCACGAGAGCTCAGTAGTTGTGGCTCGTGAGCTTAGTTGCCCCGTGGCATATGGGATATTAGTTCCCTGACCAGGGATCAAACCTGCATCCCCTGCATTGTAAGGCGGATTCTCTACCACTGGACCACCAGGGAAGTCCCTGAAATTAGGTACCTCTGGTCAATGCACAACTTTGTGAATATACTAAAAACCACTAAACTGTATACTTTAAAAGAGTGCACTTTATGGTCTGTGAATTCATATTGCAATAAAGCTATTACTTTAAAAAACTACTCTAGTTTGATCCTATTTTTGTAAAAACACCTTATCCATCCATCCTTCTATCTATGTACACATGAATAGAAACACCTGGGATGACAGTCACTGATAGCAATAATGATAATAATGATAGCTATTTCTAGTGACAAGAAGGGTGACAGTTTCATCTTTTAAATACTATGCATGGTAGGAATTACTTATAGTAATAAGCCTATATATCCTTTTTACAAAAATAATAAATTATCTTCCTTTCTTTTAAAAAAGCAAACCTATTAAAAATTTAACAACAGTTCATTGTGGGTAATGATAATAAGAATCTCCTATTTTATATTTTGATGCTTTTTAAATTTAAAAATATCCCCTCTGAATCATGTAGATTATATTAATTTAAACAAGGATTAGGGGCTTCCCTGGTGGCGCAGTGGTTAAGAATCCGCCCACCAATGCGAGGGACAAAGGTTCAAGCCCTGGTCTGGGAAGATCCCACATGCCGCGGAGCAACCAAGCCCCGTGCGCCACAACTACTGAGCCTGCGCTCTAGAGCCCTCAAGCCACAACTACTGAGCACGCGTGCCACAACTACCGAAGCCCGCGTGCCTAGAGCCTGTGCTCTGCAACAAGAGAAGTCACCACAATGAGAAGCCCGCGCATTGCAACGAAGAGTAGCCCCCGCTTGCCACAACTAGAGAAAGCCCACGTGCAGCAATGAAGACCCAGTGCAGCCAAAAATAAATTTAAAAATAATAAAATAATAAAATAAAATAAAATAAACAAGGATTAGAAAGGTATTTCATAGACTTTAATGCCAACAAGCAAGAGAAGGCAAGTGGACAAGTGAATGTGGACTCAAATTCTCAAAATACCTCCTAAGAAGCTGGGAACATATACCAAAGTGATTGGGAGTGGGATACTATTAAATTGAGCTCTACACTGTAGAGCATCTTGTCGGTTTTATTTATTTATTTATTTTGGGCCGTGCCATGGCTTGTGGGATCTTAGTTCCCCAACCAAGTAGAGCATCTTAATGATTGTCTTCTTGCCAACAATTTTTTCACTTATCATGATTTCATCTCAAACTACACCCTCTTAGAACTTGACAGTAACCCAAAATTCTTCAAAAAACCTAGAAACACGTCAACTACAGAGTAATAAACAGGCATTAGACTGAAATCACTTACTTAGACATGTTCTGGGCCTTCTCAATAAATTTCATCACCTAAAAGAAAAAGACGCCAATTACAACAGAATCCAAGTTCAACCAAAAAAATCACAGGGCCCTCTCGAGAGTGGCCCACCTGCAGGCACCATTAACAATTGAATCTCTATGTTCTCTGTCTGAGGACACCAACTAACGTGCTCATGGAACCAAAGAAACATAGCCACACCTGCCGTACCACAACACCCTGGAGCACAGGGCAAGGCCTAAGGAGCTGAAGACTTGATCTGTCACTGCCAAGTCTCTCTCTTGGTGCTTCAGTAAAGCGTTAACAGCCTGAATCATTGGGTGAAATCGGGGTAAAAAAATCAGTGATTGCCAAACACTCTTAAGGAAGTGGAATGTGACAGAGAAAACATAACAGATGACAACAATTTGTCACAAGTGAAAAGCCCCATAATTGTTCCATTCCCTGCCTGGCAGCCCATCCCACTCCCCATCCCTCCACCCCAACCTCAGGGTAACACTGCAAGCCAATAACAGATCAAGAAGAGAACCCAGGTCTCTTAGATCTTTATTGGCCGCCACAACGTTCAATGTGAAGTCTCTCACCATGTTGATCATCCTCTCATAGCCTACTTCTTTGTCCACCAAAATGCCTCCCTATATTCTGTATTGACATTGAGGTTGATTGCCCTTCTTTCCCAGTGTGATCAAGCTAAGGCATTTAAGAGTCACAGGTTCTGACACAGCCATGTCTATGTAAATAGAGACAGATATACCTGATCAAATCTGGTAGCAAAGAGATTGAGTGAGGTCACTATGCCACCATTGGGTCCAAGTCCATACCTAGACACTAAGTTGAGGATTTAAATTGCTTATAGATCAATTTAGATGATAAAGTTTATTATCTAGACAATCCCTCACAAAAACAGCATAACATTAGTGTTCAACTGACTAGTATGTATCACACAATCTTAACCTCATAGGGAAACATTCACTATCGATGTCTCTCATTCATCGTTTAGAAATGGCCAGGTGAAATGGGGCCAAAATGGAACAAACAGATGTATCAGGCATTGAAAGCCTGATGGCATTAGCCATAAAGATCATTTATATACCACTCTTTGCTCTGATCCTCACTCATCAAGCCACCTGAGGATTAGAATTAGTCTTCCTATCTAGACTTACCTATAGGGAAAGTACACATTTCACACAGCAATGTACTAAGAGTTGATCTTACTAATCTTTGGGCTTCCCAGTCTAAGGGGATGGTGATCAATGGATGCATTCACCAAGGCAATACTCCCTTGTGGGACCCAGGCACGCCACCCGCTAGCCTCTCCTTCTCTGTGCTAATTACAACAGCCTGCAGTTCGGGACAAAGGCAGAAAATGGAACTCACAAGCTGAAACAGGATTTCTGATCACCTATGCTTCTCCCCACATTCATCTTCCCTCCTCTTCATAAAATTACCTGAAAGCAATCGAATGCTTTTGCTAGTATATTTCACAAGGGACAGCACAAACACTTTTTTCAAAGCTACACAATACACAGACAGTAAGTAGCCAGGGATGAGCCAAAAACCAAAGTAGATGTGAAAAAAGATACTGTTTCATGACTTCTTTATACTTCACAGTGTCACGAATATCTGGAGGGAAAGAAAGAGAGAATGAAATGGAATTTAACACGTAAGAAACAATACAGTTTGAGACTCTCCACCTATAATATCTAAGCCAACAGACCTCTCAAGTCATCTCTGCTTCCTCTGAGCAAACAAATCAGTTTCTCTCTTAGCATCCAAGGTACTTTTCCAATCTGTTTTCTAAATTTTCAAGCTAAGATCACTGAATTGCAACAGCAAAAGAAGCAAGTTCAGGAAGAGACTAGGAGGACAAAAGGTACCCACCCTGCAAGTACCTTCCCTCCCAGCAAGAAACTGAAACTAGCTTCTGAGGCTTCTATTGTCAGCACTGTCTTCTAGTAATTTCTCCAGCTTCACACTGGCCAAGGACAACTGCCAAGTAACCCAAGAAGAATGTTAGGCTAGGAGCTCTCAAGTTATGGTAGGGATGTCTGAGACAAAGAGAAAAGTTTTATACAACTTAAATACCTTCTCAGTGACCATATACATAGAAAAAGGGAGCTAAATAAAGAAAAAAGGTTTATTTCTTACTCCTTGCTTACTGGTAACAAAGGTAATGCAGATAACATTTTTATAAAGGCATTAACTTGGGAAGTGGATGGGTGGGGAGAGAAATAGGTGATGGAGATTAAGAGGTACAAATTTTCAGTTACAAAATAAATGAGTCATGGGGTGAGATGTACAGTGTGGGGAATACAGTCAAAAATTATATAATACCGTTGTATGGTGACAGATATTAACTAGACTCATCATAGTGATCATTTTGAAATGTACACGTATTTCAAATTACTATGTTGTATACCAGGAACTAAATATTGTGGCAGGTCAATTACACTGCAAGACAGACAAACCCACAGAAAAAGAGATTGGATTTGTAGTTACCGATCTACAAATCGGTAGAGGGTGTGGAGGGAGGGACAATTGGATGAAGGTAGTCAGAAGTACTAACTTCCAGTGAATAAATACTAGGGATGTAATATACATTATAAATGTAATGAGCACTGCTACATGTTATATGTGAAAGTTGAGAGTTCTCATAACAAGGAAAAAAAATTTTTTTCTATTTCTTTAATTTTGTATCTATATGAGATGACAGATGTTCACTAAACTTACTCATGGTAATCATTTCATGCGTTTGTAAACCAAATCATTATGCTATACAACTTAATCATATACAATGCTGTATGTCAACTATATCTCAATAAAACTAGGAAAAAATTATTTGGATGGAATTTTAAATAAAAAGGAAATTGGTCTGTCCAGTAATATCTAACTAAACCTATCTAGCAGTCAGGAGACCTATATCCCATCAACTATTAGAGTTCCATCCAGCCTTTAAGTGAAAAGACGGAATTTCTTTTTTTTTTTTTTTTCAAAATTCTTCCCATAATGATTTCTGCTTCTTAATACAAGGTCTTCCTTAATTAGTATGTTTGGAGTACAAGCTTAATAGGATTAAAAAGAGACCAGGAGGGAAAAGACTAACATCAAGGAATAGTCTGGGGCTTCCCTGGTGGCGCAGTGGTTGAGAATCTGCCTGCCAATGGGACACGGGTTCGAGCCCTGGTCTGAGAGGATCCCACATGCCGCGGAGCAACTAGCCCCGTGAGCCACAATTACTGAGCCTGCGCGTCTGGAGCCTGTGCTCCGCAACAAGAGAGGCCACGATAGTGAGAGGTCGGCGCACCGCGATGAAGAGTGGCCCCCGCTTGCCGCAACTAGAGAAAGCCCTCGCACAGAAACGAAGACCCAACACAGCCATAAATAAATAAATAAATAAATAAATAAATTTTTAGAAAAAAGGAATAGTCTGAAAATCAGGAAGCCTAGATCCTATCAAGAATCAGGACACTGGATCCCATCCATTCTTAATCTTATACAGTAGTCAGGGACTCCTCTACAAGTCTGATGATAAGAGGGAAGGAACCCCTCACCAAGACAATGCACACAGGCATATATACACACATTTTCCCATGTAACTTTGCAAGATTCCTACAGATCAACAAGCAAACTCTGCACAAAACCCACATGCTCTTAACTTGGAAGAAAAAAAAACTATACAAAGTTTATGTAACAGAGCCTGCTGAAGGGTTTACGGCTTAAAAGCCAGAGGACTGACTTTCTGTCACTTCATTTTCCCAAAGAACCATAGTCTGACACCCTTGGGTCAAAAGAGGTAGAGAGAATGGTAGTAGTACGGAAAAAAAGGAAATTTAAGAAGAGGGAAGGAGTAAACAAAGAGAAAAAGGGAATCAGGAAGAAACCTGTTTCAGGATGCTAGCAAATCCAAGGGAAACAAAATTAGGCAGTTTAGAAAACATTAAAAATGGAAGCATTGAAGACTCATAGGATAGGCTGACAGCTTTCCATTCTCTGAGAAACTTCACACAAGTTCTGGCACAGTTTACTCACCAATATTGGCAGGAAAGGGAACTTCATGCACAGCTGGATCCAGGTTGATCACATAAGGTGGACACCCTTGACTATGCAGATATCCTGTGAGCCTCTGCAGACATATGGGGAGAAGGATGGACTGAGACCAAGAGGCAAGATAAAGGAAAAAGAGAGAACTTCCACCCCTTAATCCAACTTACCAGAATTCTGCACTTCCATTTCCCTCTACCTTAAATATTCGTTTCTGATCTCCACCGCCAACATTCACTCTCAGTTGAAATGCTACCTTTCTTCATCACACATCCAACAGAGCCTCCTCTACTCTCCATCACTTATTGACTTGGGGGGTTGGGGGGAACGGGGGTTTCTATCTCCCCCACAAAAAACATTAGCTCCATTTAAGCGGGAACCTTGTCATTTCCGCTATATCCCCAGTGCCTGAAACATGGTAGGCATCCCAGAAGGAATTCTTTAGGAATCTACACAGAAAGCCCGTGTGCAAGCACTCTATTAACAGCCAGAATTATTTGTTAAGCCTCTGCCTTCGAGGACTTGGCACTAGCAAGGCAATTCCAATACCAAGTACGGTCGTCATAGATAGGCACTGAGGGTGCGCAGAAGAGAGGCTGAATGAACCCAGGCTAGGATCTGAGACGGCTTTGCGGAGGAAGAAACAGGGGTTGCTGGTATCCCTGAAAGCCAGACGCCGGTACCCTCCAACTCCCCAGAGAGACCTCCCTTTCTCCCCTGGCCTTACGCCTGCCACAGACAACTTCTCGCGCGCTCCTACTACGCCCGCGCCGTGCAGGTCACCTGTACAAAGGTGGTTTTCCCAGACCCCGCCATTCCCAACACCAGCAGACACACTGGGGGCCGGGGACCCCCGGAAGCTTGCGGCTCCGTGGCTGCTGCGAGCGCGGCCATCTTGCTCCTGGCTCCGCCCACTCGACCATAGAGACGCTCGTAGCTAGAGAGGCTCCCGCGACATTCGGAACTCTGAGTGAGACTAGAACAGGGCAAACCAAACCGTACCGAACCAAACCGGCCAGAGAGGGCAGGGCCAAGGGGCCAGGCGTGCGCCTTAGCTCTGTCCGTCCTGACCCGGATGGGGGCCCAACTAGGGACAGAGGCGGGGAAGTGGAGACACTGGGAGGACGACTGGAGTAAGCCACCTAAAGAACCGCTCACCGTCGTCGGGCAGAGCCTGGGAAGGGCAAAGCTCTGGACCCCGGGCGGGCGGGACGACAAGGGACCCACGGGCTCCCACACTATAAAAGTGAAGAGAGTGCCTTTTCCTGTCGGCCCCCCGAGAGCGGGTAACCGAGCCGCCGGAGAACCGGCCACTAGGGCTCGTCCGGCGGCCGAGGAGGTTAAGCGGCTCAGGCCTGGACGTGCCGGGACCCGGGCGGGATGCGAGCGCCGGAGTTGCTGGGCCCAGCCAAGAGCCGCAGAGACCAGCCCGGAGAAACTGGAAAAACCCTCCGCACTGGGACGCCGTTTCCGCGTGTCGCCAGCCCCAGACCG